GGGTGAGGCTGCCAAACTAGGAGTCACATCCATGCTTGATGGAGTGGACTGCACATCACTGAAAAATCTTTCAGCTGATGGACTTAGGGTGGGTACAGCGATAGCTACAACGTTGAACCATTTCCCTAGGGGAAGAGCAGTGTGTCCTCTACGTGTGGGAGAAATGGATATGTGCTAACCAGAAGTGAAGACTGACAAAGACTGACTGATGTATTCACCAAAATGCATTTCCTTTTCTCCTGCATTTCCCCCTAGACAACATTTCCCAGCCTCCCTTGTACTTAAGACTGGCCATGTGCCTGGATTCTGCCTAATGAAAAGTGCGTGGAAATAATGTACATCACTTCTGTGATGAAAGAGTGAAAAATCAGGTGTGCCTTTCCTAGTCCTTCTCCTCAGTCTACTGCCCAAATGAAGAGCATCTCCAGGACCCAAGTAGAATCAAAAGTTGGAAGGATTCTGGTCTCTGAATGAGAAGATCACCTATCAAGATGCCTACACCAGACTTGAGTAAGAAATAAACTTTTGTGTGTTGAACAGCTGAAATTTTAGGGATATCTGTGGCAACTGTTAGCCTGAACTCCATGATAGAGAATAGATGCAGGAGTCTGACTACTCCTGCCCCAGCACACTCTTGACACACTGACACACAAGCACATTTAGAATACAAAAATATACTTACCTTCTGTAGACATGGCTACTGACTGATCAAAGGGATATAAGAAATATATTCTACGGCACCTTGCTTTATAGATTCTAATCACTTCCAACTGACATGATTAGGAAAGATGTCAATGAGTCTATGGCACTTGATGTAGGTCTCCAAGGATAGATTGAGTAGGAGGAAGAAAATCACAGGCAGATTAACTGGAATCAATAAAATTTGACAGGCGGGAGTAATGGCAGAGTCATGAGGAATCCAGCTGGTAGAGTTTGGTGTTTATAAGGAGAGAAACTTAGAAAGAGAGCTTAGTCAGCACGTGGTACACTTAACAAAAGGCTTAGGACATAATATATAAGAAAAGATCATGGAAGGCTTATCAGTGAGTGACATGATCATGATGCTTTGGTATATTTAATTTGGCATCAGTGTGCAGAGGAAAGTGAGGGAGAGAGGGGAGTCTGGAAAGAGACTGCAGGCATGAGGAAGGAAGAGAAGGCAAAAGACTGTGACCATGGTTACAAAGATAAACAATGGACAGTTTGGAAGTCTTCCGTGAAGGAACAATCAACAGACTTGGTGAATGATCCACAGAGTTGGGCAAAGAAAGGAAGAATTTAAAAACACCTTTGAAACTATATACCAGGATGACTGGAAAGATGATGGAAGAAATAGAAAAAATCGGAGGGCCTGGGTGGCTCAGTCGGTTGGGCATCCAACTTTTGATTTCAGCTCAGGTCATGATCTCACAGTTCGTGATCAGGCCCCATGTGGGGCTCCATGCTGGGTATGGAACCTGCTTACGATTCTCTCTCCCTCTCCCTCTGCTTCCCCACACATTCACACTCTCCTTCTCTCAGGAAGAAAGAAAGAAAGAAAGAAAGAAAGAAAGAAAGAAAGAAAGAAAGAAAGATGGATGAAGGAATAGAAAAAAATTGAAGAAATAAAGAAAACTAGAGGATTTATCATATGCCAGTAGAAGAAAAAATTCCTTTAAAAATTATTGAATTTAAAATTTCACAGGACTATCTACTAGACATGACACCCAGGAAACTGTTTGTCTAGAACTTAAGAGGCCAGAATTAAATGTATGAAGTTGGACTCGTTTTTTCCACTTCCTACAGTGGGCATCTTTTCAAATTGGCACATCAAAATACAGCTCACCTTTGAAAATTTTTTTTAAACATTCATTTATTTTTGAGAGAGAGAGAGAGAGAGAGAGAGTGATCAGGAGAGAGTCAGAGAGAGAGGGAGATACAGATTCTGAGGCAGGTTCCAGGCTCTAGGTTGTCAGTACAGAGCCTGATGAGGGCCTTGAACTCATGAACTGTGAAAGCATGACCTGAGCTGAAGTCAAATGCTTAACTGACTGAGCAACCCAGGCGCCCCTCACCTTTTAAATGAATATCTAGTATTTTACTCTGTTTATATTTATTTAAGTGTTCCCCTACTGATGGGCATTTATATTGTTTTCCATTTGGGGCTACAACAAACAATGTGCAATTATCATGCTTGCACACATATTTTCCACACTTGCAAAAGTGTACAGAAAAATTCTTACACATACAATAGCAGAGCCAAGGAGTAAAAACATGTAAAACTTTAATAAGTATTGCCTAAATGCCTTCCAAAATAGTTGTACTAATTTACATTGCCCCAAACAGAGCATGAAAAATGTCTGGAAACAGATTTTGGAGGTATTTGAATAGAGACGGTTAAAACTGGGAAAAGGTGTGAGCCTATTAAGAAAAGCAGAGAAGGAGACAGAGACAGACAGTGAAACAGAGAGACAGACAGACAGAGAGAAAAAACAGGCAGAGGGAGGGAACTGGAGAGCTACAGCATCTCTGTCATAGAACCAAAGTGGAACCAGTCAAAAGGAGGAGTGGTCAGAGAAGTGGCAGAACAGGAGAAGCCACGATGCTGAAAGTTAGAAGGTCACCAGGAAAAGGTGTAGCCTGGAATGGACTACAGAGAGGGACTGAGAGGGAGGGAAGGAGAGAGGCATGGAAAAGTCACTGAGTGCAGACTTGATATCATCATAGAAGGTATGCCTTTTTCTAACTGAAGAATAAAAGAAGAAAGCGTGTGAAAAGGGAGAAATTCTGCATTTACTGTTAGAAATAGTATCATTTCAAATTGTTTAGTAAATAGGAAGTGATATTATTTGCAGAAAATGTGGGAAGGTAGATTGAGGCTGGAGATGTGAGGACACGAGAGGAAACCGTAAACGGTGTTAGGGCCCTGGGATTGGATAAGGCTTAAGCATGCCCTTGGATTTCTGGCCCTTGTCCAGTCTTCTCAAGTCCGATTCTTACTGCCTACCTTGCAATTCTCACTGCACAAAACTTCTGAACAGACGATCCACAGCATTTGCTTGTGATGTTTGGATTATCATCCCCATCCTCCACTTCCTGCTCTTGGATATCTCTTTCTCACCTTTCAAGGCTCAGATAGGTATCTCCTCTTCCAGGAAGAGACAGTCTACCATTCTCTACTGTGTTATATACTCTTCCTCTGTGCTCTGAGAGTATAGTTTATACCAGTGGTCAGCAAATGCTTTCTCTATAAGACCAGAGGGTAGATAATTTAGACTTTATGGGCAATACAGTCTCTTCTACACTGACTCAACACTTTATGGTGAAAGCAGCCACAGACAATATTTAACCAATGAGCATGTCTGTGTCCCAATAAAACTTTATTTACAAAAATAATAGCAGACTGGATTTGGCCGATAGGCCATGCTTTGTTCATGTCTGCTGTATACATTGTCCTGTATTCAATGAATTTATTGAGCACCAATGATGTGCCCATGCCGGGTGGTGAGAATGTAATGATGAGCAAGATAGGAATGTACCTGCCTCAAAAGAACTTACAATCTACTTAGGAGGCAGATAGTTAAAAAGAAAAAGAAAAAAAGGAATAATTTGATACAGTTGTGATTCGTGGCATGAAGGAGGAAGAAAACTAGGTGTTCGGGGAATGAAGAACAGGGAGCCCTATGTGGGACAGAAGTCTGAGATGGCTACAGGGCGTCCTAAGAGATCTCAGAGACCTGAATGAAGCTCAGAAAAACCTCTGAGTCTAGAGATTCAGCTCTGGGGGCTGCCACTGGAGAGTGTCTGAGAGCAGAGAGAGAGGAGCAGATACCATGATGGGGAATACTGCCTGAAAGGAAGACAAGTCTGCAGGAGACACAAGAGAGGACCAGTGCGGAAGATGGAAGAGAACCAGGGAGGAAGATGTGAAGAAGTACTGAACAATCTCTACATATTGGGTCAAGGAAGACAAGCATGGGTTTGGGCCAGATCAAGATGGTATCCTGGCCTTTTCTAGCAGTGCTGAGTAGCCTGGGGCTGAAAGGGAAATAAGTAGATGGTGGATAGGCACTGAAGTAAGCAAACTGACTCTTTAAGGATGGAGAAAAGTTGAGGGGACAGAGATTCTAGAGGGTAGTTTGCAGTGACTGATTATGGGGCTTAAGATGGACCAGGAGGAAAATAAAATCAGAAAACTGTTTGTAATCAAGAATAGGAGGTGTTAAGTATCAAAGACAAAGAATAGGTCCAGTAGGAAGAAGGGATAGTGGAAGCAGGAGCTACAGAGACTATATCCTGGAGAGTGAGCTTCCAATTTAAGATGTTGCTGCTGGTAGCGTTTCCAGTGAGTGGCATATACGAAAGGAGAGACGAAACCGAATAGCTGGAATGTAGAACCTTAAGAACACTGAGACCAATGCCCCTGTCATTATAACAAAGCACGGTATTAAGTAGCTGATTAAGAATTGACAAAAGATCTGTTTTAAAAAATTTCTCAGGGCTGGGGCACCTGGGTGGCTCAGTTAGTTAAGTGTCCAGCTCTTGATTTCGGCTCAGGTCACAACCTCACAGTTCGTGAGTTCGATCCCCACATCAGGCTCTGTGCTGATGGTGCCAATAGTGTGGAGCCTGTTTGGGATTCTCTCTCTCTCTCTCTCTCTCTCTCTCTCTCTCTCCCTCTCCCTCTCCCTCTCCCCCCGCCTTTGCTCCATGTGCTCTCTCTCTCTCTCAAAATAAATAAACTTTTTTTTTTTAATTTTTTTTTCAACGTTTATTTATTTTTGGGACAGAGAGAGACAGAGCATGAACGGGGGAGGGGCAGAGAGAGAGGGAGACACAGAATCGGAAACAGGCTCCAGGCTCTGAGCCATCAGCCCAGAGCCCGACGCGGGGCTCGAACTCACGGACCGTGAGATCGTGACCTGGCTGAAGTCGGACGCTTAACCGACTGCGCCACCCAGGCGCCCCTCAAAATAAATAAACTTAAAAAATATCTTTTTAAAAATAAAAAAATAAAAATCTCCTGGAACTCATTTGTTTCTGACTCTTCGAAGACCTCCCAAGTGTAAGGTCTTTTCCTTGTAAGACTACTCCAAACAAATGCAGTGACCTGAAGACTCCCAGAATAGGCACCACAAATTCTCTAAGAGGAAGGCTTATTTCTCTCATGCCCAGCCTTCCCTCTGCCCACCTGTCAACATGTAAACCTCGTGGTGTTTAGCCAAATTCCGTGCTTTATATGTTAGTGTCCTTTATCACATGCTATATTTCAAGGCAAATGAGCTAAAACATGATAATAACTAGCAAAAGATGCCACTCCTTTCAAGAAGGGTACCGTTTAGGCAGAGAATTATAGGGGGATAAAATGGAACAAAAACCAATAAGGCAAATCTTAAGAATATGGCCAGAAGACCATCCTCTTAGAGTTATTCTGAAAAATGGAGCTAAACACCATGTTGTCTGACTCAGAGAAGGATTAGATTTCAAGGGGAAATGGATTTGGGTCCATTTCCTTGAGAAGAGTTGCTATGAGACTGAGAGCCAGCATTCTCTTCACTGAGTGTTTGAGGGATAAATGCACAGAGCAATTTAGCAGCATTTCAGAAATGTAAAGTTCTCAGAAGCCACATTCCAAGTGAAGCAGATCTTGCTGAAGAAGTTGGGATGTGTGAGTCTAAAAAGAACGCTTTGAGCCCTCTGCTTCTCTTAGCTTAAATCCATATATGGCTTTGTTGCTGTTGCTGTTTTCATTTTAAACATAACCAAACAACACTGGTGCCCAGGAAATGGACTTCCAAAGAGAGGAGGGAAAAGCCCAAAAAATTCTTTCAGCATAAAGAAGACCAGTCTTGTTTAAATCAAAGAAAGGGGTGAGTATTTCTCTCAGGCAGTGTCCTTGGGAGATTTTTACCTCAAGGTAAAAAATGATGACTTACGTATGGAAGAGGCTGCTATAGTTACGAGGCCACCCACACTTCATACCCAATCCCTTCCAGAATGAAAGCCCTACCCATGCCCCCTACTCATGCCCCGACACAGGGCCTGGGGACTCTCATTCCCTCCTCCTCTCTTTTTATATCTGTCTCCAGGGGTGGGCTCCAGCTTTGCAAAATTTGTTGTGAGCCTCCCTTTCAAACCTGGTGCCAGGGTACAGGTAATTGATACACCTATTACTCACCCAGAAGGATTCAGACTCTTTTTTCTCATGCCAGTGCAAATGGTTGTCATGAAAATCACACAGGAAACATTAGCTTGACCCCCCCTGAGAGACGTGTCCAGATATTAGCTTCCGACACTTAGTCACCTCACGTCCATTTATCTTTATTAAGCTATCTGTCATACAGGAGTAAGACTCTAAGTAACTCTTTGCTATTTACTTTTCCCACATCAGGAGGCCAACAGGCAAAACAGTTTTTAAGCCAAGAGATATTTTCTAATAAATAGAACACACCCTAACATGTTCTCTTTTCCTATACTTTTGGGTGCTAAAGTGGCGAGAAAGGAGGTTAGAGTTGGTGATCACAGAGGCTTCTGTCAGAATGTGAAAAACACACTTCTAGGTTTGAATGATTTGTCAAAGGAAGATGGAATTCTATACTTTTAGATAATGATCCACTCAAGTTTGCTTGTTCAGTGTGCACAGTTTAAAAGCTAAAGCAGGTCCCCAGAGGAAAATACTCCAATGGCTGTGTCTACTCAAACACCCAGCTGAAAAGAGATTCAATCGATCTTTTAAGATACCTATAATCAAGTACATAAAACATAAAGAAGAATGCCTCGGTTATTCATTTTTCATTTGGATGTTTTGGAATTATACAAACAAGTAAATAGGTAGTTTTTCTCCACTGTACTTAGAGGAGCAGATTCTGTTAATGGGAGTGAAGGTAAACGAGCGAACGGAGAGAGCGCCACCATGCTTGGATGTGAGAACAGGGTTTCTACTTTTGATAAGCCATTCATTGTTTCTCCATAAAGAAAATACAATCAACACCTCATGTCTTCATTAACTCCATTTTAGTTGTGCGCTATTTTTTTTTTGAGTCCATTGTATACATCAGTCTGTGTTAGACCCTAAAAATTCAAAGATCAATTTTATTCATAAATATTTATGGAGTCAGAATCTACCTACTGTTGTAGGCACTGAGTTGTGTTGGGGGTATAACAGTGAGCACAACATTGCCCTACTGCAGTATCCAGTTTAATATTGTAGACAGATATGAAACACACACACACACACACACACACACACACACACACAACAACAACAGAATAAAATAAAACTATTAACTGCAACAAGTTCCAAGAAGGAAGAGTATGGGGTCTAATGAGAGTATAACAAGGGAAGTATGATAGGTAAGGGGAATGTGGGTGTCAGTGAAGGCCTCTTTGAGGACATGACATTTAATCTGGAATTCAAAGAACTAGGAGTTAGACGGGACAAAAACTGGCAAGAGTGTACCAAAGAGAGAGACTTGTGTTTAGGTTTTAGAAGCAAGAAAATGCTTGATGAGTTTGAGAAACTAAGAGTAGGTCAACATCCTGAAACTCTGGAACTCGGTGGTCCCAGGCACAAGTGGTCCTGGGTGAGACTGCAGAAGCAAACACAAAAACTGGGCCTCAGGCTTTGCTCAGCAAGGTGGTCTTTATCCCCAGGCCAAAAGAGGGCACAGCACTTTCATGAGAATTCCTGAAAGAATTTAAGAGAAGGGTGACCAAAGATAAGACTCACAGGGGGAATATTCCCTCAAGTCTCTACAGCAAGAAGAAAACAAAATTCATATTTATTAACCTGGTCGTCCCAGTTACAAAAGTTCTCGTGCACACAAAAACCAAACAAAATACACCACAGTCAGTCATGGCCATTGAAGTGCCTGAAGAAAACACAATTCTTTTCTTTCCCTCTTTTTTTTTTTTTTTTTTTTTTGATATGAAACCTTCATCTATTCTCTATCCTTTAAGACAAATGGCACATATCTGGTACAGAGTGTTGGAATTCCAATAACTAAAACAATGGCCTAGAATTCTCACAGGGATTCTAGTTACTCATCCATTTGGGATTTATCCCAAGCACTATGCAAGTTAGTCTAAGTCCCTAACTTGCCTGAAGCTTCCACTCCAGCGGTGGAATCAGATAACAAATAAATAGTTCCTGATTCCGGCGCCCTGTCAGTACTGTTTCCAGTAGTGTGGCTCCCACATAGGGGAGGAGTCAGAAGGGGCCCTACAGCCCCCACCAGCTGCCCTTGAAACCCATGCGAACAGTGGACAGTTCCAGATTCTAAACTGTATATATTTTTTCATGGTATTGTTAAAACAGTGAGGAAACATTAAAAAAAAAAAAAAAAGTGCTGTGGCAAAAAAAAAATAATAATAATAATCTTGGATTGTGATAAGTGCTTTCAGGAATTAAAACAGGGAATGACAGGTGAATTGGTAGAGGGCCACCTTATGTAGCTTAGACGGGTCCTTGAGGAGGTCACATGCAACTGAGGCCTGAGATGTTTTGAGGCAATCCAGACTCCATTTTTAGAAGAGAAATGTTTCGTGTTTTTCATTAGGATAAGAAATAGAACAAGGTAGTTATTTTAATGGTTGTTTTCAAGGTTAGGAAATACTGTTCTGGCTTTGAAATCCAATTAAGACCAACAAACGCATGCCCTTTTGCCAAACAATCCAAGAAATTTGGATTAATAAAGTAGAATCAGAAGTGACCTGAGCACCACCTTCCTCTTGGAATCTTAGCCTTTTCATACTAAAATTATAACTGCCACCATGAAGAGAATAACAGCTTCCCCTAAAAGCCAGTGAAACAAACGAGGCCCATGAATAGAGTTAACCAAAGCTACCAGGACTTTTTAGCTCACATTTGAAACAATCCTGCCTAGTGAATGCATCTTTCTTTAATGTTTACCGTTCTTTTGGAGTGCTTTTGTTCCCTTCGTCAATTTCTTTTGTTATCGACAATCTTTGCCTCATGTAAACCATATAATTTCCACTTTCTAATAACTTCATGTAATGTTTCCGAATCTAAGTTTGAATCAAAGGAAAATTTGGACATAAACGTATCTATTTCAAGAAGGGCAAGTGATACCAAAAGCTGCTTCCAGAGTGGTGAAGGCAGTGGATATGTATCTGCTGAGTTATTGGCAGCTGTTTCTCGTAGCTCTTGCATTTAGGTGCTCAGAGAAGTGGATTTTTACATTTTTTCTCTGGGTTTTGCTAAAATCTGAGAAAGGTAGCCACCGTGCACTGGGCTGCAATTGGTAGCATCACGTAACCAGTGCTGTACCAGGAAAGGCGGATCTGTGTTCTCGGCCCCCCTCCGTCAGTAAATGGCTGTGCAAATCACAGCCCCTTTCTGCGATTCCATTTGGGCAAATGTGGGCAAATCGCTTCCCCTTTCTGCAATTCCATTTCTTCATCTGTAAGCAGGGAGGCCGGAATCCATCAATGGCATTCAAACCATTCTTAAAAGTGGTATCCTGATTAAATAATATATGCGATTCTCCAATTATAAAACAGAATAGAGCGCCTCTGCTTTGGGAGAACTGTGAGCATGTCCCAGAGACCCACTGGTACCTTCCTCCAAGGCCACCTCTTAGCCATCTCCTTGGAAAGACCCACGGAAGACCAGTTTGAAGAGCACCACCCTAAGTTTTAAAAGCTATTTCCGTTCTTAAATAATGATGCAGTGACTTTGTAAGTGCAGATAAGGTAAGTCCCCAAAATAATACCTCATAGAATCAACGTTACCTAGACTTACTAACATCTGCAAAGAAGGTAAAAGCATTTACTCACTCTCTTTCATTACTTAGCTCCACTTTTGGTGACGAAACTTCTTAAGATACGGTTACTCTTTTCTTGGTGCCAACGGAATCTCACACATTAGGCCATGGTGCAATTTAGCTCCGCTATCAATCCAAACAATAGGAACAGAGTCACAATATCTCTTCTCACTGTGTGCTAACAAGCACGGTCTAAGCACTTGACATCCACTCATCGAATCCTTATCAAATTCCATGAAAAGGATATTATGATTACAGAAAAAGAAATTGAAGCATGGAAAAGTCAAGTGACTGCCCCAAGTCACAGGTAGTTCATAGCCAATCTGCAGTCTGGCTCCAGAGCCTGGGCTCTCAGACATCATACACAACGGCCCCTCCACAACCATCCAGCTGAGCTTGCGTTCGTGTGCCTTCACTCTCTTTTGTGCCCTCTCCCGGGCTGAACCTTCCTTCTCGCTGGGAGCCTCGTCACACACGCATCTGTGGATCTGAACACGAGGGTGGAGAACCGTGGCCTGGTTGATCTCCACGCTACTGCTGTGCTGAGACTTTAAAGATTCCTACAACTCTCTTCTCAACAGGTTCCAAGGTGGGATTAATGATCAAGTGCGCCATGCCTGTCCTGGAACTGAGACACGGAAGCTCGGCCCCAGATTCATGGATTGAAGACTCCACAGCACTTCTTCCTGCACCCTGGGAGTGAACCATACATTTGCCCACAGTAAATAACCCTATGCTTTGCCATCTACTACTCCCTGTGCCACTTTTCCCAAAATTAGGCCTGGACTATGTGTGCACCTACAGACACACCGCTTCTTCCCCTCATTTGGTATTTGTCTACTTTTTATGGACACATGAAGCCTTATATAGTCATGTAATGTCCTTTTCCCCTCAATAGATTATAGACATTCGGAGGACAGGGTTGTATTTTATTTACCTCTATATTCCTAATGCGTAGGAAAATATTGATGTTAATCATCAGCACCACTTATTTATGGTACAGTGAGAAAGCAATGGAATTGGAGTAAGGAGTCTTGATTCCTGCCACTGGCTAGCCTTGCGATCGTAAGCAGATACCTTAACGG